TTCCCAGGTGATTCTAGTAGGTCAGACTGCAAGTCAATTTTGGAAATAAGGACCTTCGGATAGGCCAATGGTTCTCAAACTTTAACCTGTATCAGAATCACCTGGAGGGCCTGTTAAAACACAGGCTGCTGGGTACTGCCTCTCAAAGTTTCTAATTCAGTAGATTTGGGATACGGTCCGATAATTTGCATTTCTGATAAATTTCCCTGTGATCCTGCTGCTGCTGGTTTAGGGACCACACTTTGAGAACCACTGGGTAAAGCTCCTCTCCTTGCTTTAAATATATTCTTTGTACCTTCCTCGAATCCAAATTTCTGTTCATTCTGAAAGTCAGCTTCTCTGTAAGGCCAGCCCCTTCAGAACTTCCTGTCCTTCCTTTTCTGCTTCCTGCAGCCGCTATTTACCCCGTGTCATCCCAGCTGGCAGGTTCTGGCAGCTCAGGTGAACACCAAGATGAGAAAATCCATTCCAGCTGTTTTAATTCCTTTCTGTGATTACAGGACATCTAACTTCACAGTTAAAAAGCCCAATATATCTGTTTAGGAGCTGCCTAGTATGTCCATGTGTGCACATGCTCTTGGCCACAGCTGAACCCCTCCTCCCTCTTCTCCCGTGTGTCTGCCCCAGTCTCTCTGAGTATGCTATGAAGGGTGTCTGGACATGGCTCAGGAAGCCATTGTGAAGACCGCGGGAGCCACAGGACTGCCGAGGCCCCAGCGCTGCCTGTGCCAGGCCTGCCCCACCTGTTGCTGGCACTACAGACTCAGCACTCTTCGGAAGCTTGGGTAAGACAGCCCTCAGTTGACATCCCCACTGGCTAATTTCCACACTCTGAACCAGGCCGGTCTCCCTGGGAGCAAGGGGTGAACCCCAGGTATGCTCCATGTCACAGAATATTTTGTGTCCTGACCCTCAACCCTGAAACTTTGAGGCTGTGACTATACTTCACTTAGGTTGTGTTCTTTCTTACAAGCCACGCTGGTCCCTCTTGCTAATAGAAATCCTGAAAGGGCCACCCCTCTCATCCTCCAAACCCAGCTACAGGTGTCTGAATCAGAGGACAAACGCAGCTTAGGCTCTTGACGGGACTCAAACCACACATAACATTTCAGAGTGACTCTTTAAAAGGAAAGGAAAACTCCTTGAAGTTGAGGATTGTTCTTTATAGTGTAAACTTTTCGCTACTTATATTTGGCCTACAGTGCCAAGAATAGCATTAAAAGGTGTGTGGTCATCTCATAATCTGTCCCCAACTTACACCCCAGCCCTCCAGCACCTTCCATCTCTTTCCCTCCTCCACTCCCCAAATCACTGCACTTTTCCAGTCCTTCTCTTCCAAGCCCAGCTCAAATGCCTTTACTTTTATGAAACTGGCTCCCCATCCCACCCCCAGTAGATTTCCTTGCTCCTTGGTCATCAGTTTGGGGGCTTCCTCTATCATCTGGAGCCCACCCTGTTTCTGCCCTTCCTCTCCCAACCCACCCCCAAACCCTGCAGACCACACCTACCCCACAAAGGAGGCTATAGAGGCCTGTCTCTGACTCTCAGGACAGGCTCCATCCTCCTCCTTTCTGGCGTCCTAGCAATGAGCCTGTAGCTCAGAGCCTTCAGGGTACATGCAGGGGATTGTTCCAAGCCACAGAGAATCTCCACTCTCCTACTTTGCCATTGCCTCAAGAGAACTCTCGGGCTCCCTTCACGAGTTGCTAGCCCCTAGAGTAAGAGCCTTCATTCTGGATCAGACATTTTGTTCTCCACTGCCTTTCATACCCTTCTTGGATCCTGTGACTGGGACTCCAATTCTCTTTGTTCAGAACCCCAAACCTTCAGATCCCCAAACCTAAGGTCATCACTGTGCCCCTCACCACTGACTTCAATTTAGTTTCATAATTAGACATTTTAAATTAGTTTTGCATGGATTTTACTGTTGCCAAAAAGATGGTTGCTGGGTCCAAGGACAGCCCTGAGAAGGGCCTTTCTCTGAGCCCACCTTGGGCTCCAGGCTCGGGTTCTTGGCTTCCCTTGCTCGAAGAATCAAGCAGAGAGCCTTAACCCCACGGTGAGTGTTCCAGCTCCAAACAAGAGTTTGCAGACTGAGAGAGTGAGCAGCAATGCGGTTTATTGAGCAAGTGAAGATAAAGCACCACAGCACAGATGGGGACCCCAGAGGGCTGCCGTTGTTGGTCAGGGCTGCCTGGGCTTAGATCCCCAAGTAATTTTGAGTTGCTGAGTGTTTGCCCCCTAGTTCTGTGTGGGGAGAGGGCTTGTGACAATGAGTCACCTAATTTTCTCTTTCTGTTGGTTGCTTCCTACTTTCTATTGAACTCGCACGCAGTACTGGAATGCGGTTGAACAGCTGATACTTTGAACACAGCCTCCTGATATGGTTGAAGTACCCGTGTTGACCTTTTCCCATGTTAGGTTCCCAAAAAGTTTCCCACTGACCCAAAAGGGTTTATTCTGTCATTACCAACAAAGTGCAATCCAAATTCTTTCTGCTTATGTAAACATACAACATACATGTGTATGGCTATGTCAATGTATGTTCAACAGCCAAGAGTTTAGTGTTCTGGTTATTCACATAATCAGTAGATAGAATGTGGTAAGTCTTTCTTTTAAAATGAATTGGGTTTGCAAAACTTGTGAACGCTCCTTGTTTACATCATTCTTCTTGACACAATTACTGCCCTTTTGTTCCCGGGCTAGTAACTGTGTCCAGTCTTCAGATTCACGCTGTGTGCTTTTCTGTTGTCTTTCTTCCTCTATCACCAAGCTTTGAAGTCTCTTCAGATTTTAGGTCTCTATTTGTTCTGCAATTATTATTATTATTATTATTATTTGAGATGAGTCTCACTCTGTCACCCAGGCTGGAGTGCAGTGGTGTGATCTTGGTTCAAGGCAACTTCCGCCTCCTGGGCTCAAGTGATTCTCTCACCTCAGACTCCAGTGCAATTACTTTTAATTCACAATTTCGTTACTTTAACTATGACTCCATATTTAAAAATCCCTCTCATCATGCCCAGGACTCTGACCCTGTATCCTAAAACTTACCAAAGAAAGCTTTAAAATACGCACATCTCAGAAGCTCTTTTTTTTTTTACCCTCATTCCACTTGACTATATTAGGATGGGCTGAAGAATGACAGCAGATCTCACTCAGAACATAGGCTAGCAATTCAGAGACTGTGAATCTGGTTGTGGCTTTGATGTTTGCATATTTATAACCCCAGGGAAATTATTTAAGCTTTTTTCTCTGGTCCATGACATACTTGTCAAATAGTGTAGGATTTATGATAAATGTCATGTGTGATGTATGACAGATGCTAAAAACTAAACATGGGCTTATCTTCTTAGGATAAAATAATTAGCACATTCATCTGTTAGAGCAGTAGTTTCCCCCCAAAAATGCAGATACCTGAATCCTAACCAAACCTGCTGCATTTGACTTTTTAGTAGGTTTCCTGATGCACAGCCAAATTTGAGGAAGCTTGAAATTGCAGAACAGGCTTGAAAACTGCTTCTGCACTAGACACTGACCATCCATCTTTCAAAGAAATTAGTTCACTCTTTCGTCATTCTGCCTAATTTGTCAGTAACTACCGAAAGAGGGCCATGTTTGAACCATCGCAGACATGCAAAGCTCTGAGCCCTTGGGGCTCACAGCAGGTTCTAGGCTGTCAGCTGCTCATGCACATTCTTGTGGAACCAGACATGAGGGTTTGACTTAAACCAGTTCACGAGTACGCTTTGTTTAAAACAGAACTGTAAGTGAATGGAAGGAGGAAGAGAGAATCGGTATTTTCTATTGGATCACTTTCTGTTGTGTATTCCAATGCCTCAAAAGTGCTGGATGTAGCAGTGCAACTTAGCACATTTGTTCTACCACCAGAAAGGAGACTCTCTCAAAAGAAAAAGGACTGCAGACGTGGATGTATGCCTTTGCCACCAGGTTATAATGATGTTTCTCAGCAAATTCACCACTTCTTAGATACTTTCTGCCAGAAAAAATTAAAAATTATCAATGGAAGTGAACTTCCCCAAAAGGATGTATTTTTAAAATGTTTTTCCAGATGTGCCCACTCCCACCCTCCATCTTGCCCTTTTGTGTACTTTTTTTTCTGATTCCTCAAAATAATACTTTGAGCTAATGGCTTAAAGGGCACCAGGATTTTAATCTCTTCTAATGCAACAGAATTGTGAGTTCTGAAGAATATTTGTAATCGCCAAATTTAGCTGGGTCAAGTCACTCAGTCCTTGAAATCCCCCTTCTTAAATCAAGAGTTGATCTTGAAATCCGTGTTCCTCTAACACCTCTGTCGGTTCAGACTGAGATTACAATTTATCTCTTGACTTAGGAGCAAAACATTTTCTTAGAGTCATAGGAATCTTAATTGTAGAGTTGAGTTCCCTGATTTCTATCTTACAGTCTATTTCCTAAATATCACTAACATTTGCCTCCTCGCCTCCTTTCCCAAAGCTTCTGCTTTGCTTCAGACACCCCAGCTGGCTCTTTACAACAGCTTTCCAATTTCTCACTTTTCTTTCCAGGTCAGCCTGTATGCTATAGCCAAACTGATCTAGTCTCTTATATACACATCTGACTGGGCTAGTCTTTCCTTAAAATCTTCTCAAAAACTCCCCGGCCTCCATGGCAAAGACTTTCAACATATTTTATATTCCATCACGTATAAGGAAATTCATGAAAGAACACATGTAAGGAAAAGCATTATTGCCAATAATGGTGGCTCCGTGGTCATCTGAGTATAGTCTGCAAGTGGTTCATGGGCTTGTGCTCATCCTCATACTCTGGTTTGAATGATTGTCCCCTCCAAAACTTACTTTGAAATTAATTGCCATTATGATGGTGTTGGGGGTTAGGAGCTTTAAGAATTATTTAGGTCATAAGGGTTCCTCCCTAATGAATAAGCTAACGTCATGATAGCAGGATTAGGTTCCGTACTGAGGGAGTTGGGTTCACCCACTCTTGCTCATGCTCTCTCCCCTTCTCTTTGTCCTTCCGCCAAGTGATGTCCTCTATTATGTGATGATGCAGCGATGCCCTAGACAGATGCTTCCACCTTGACATTGGAATTCTCAGCCTCCAGAACCATGAGACAATCCATTTCTATCTGTTCTAAAGTTCCAGGTCTCTGGTCTTCTGTCACAGCAGTACGAATGATACTATGCATATTCCTCCTTTTCAGTCCTCCATGAGACTAATTTAGCCACTCATTTCTAACAGCTTTCAGGTTCTAAGGGATGTGCTTGCTGCTATGTTGGGGTTTTCCAGGAAACAGTGAGTTGTAATTGAGACTGGGAATCTTTCCCATGGGGAATTCTTTAAGGTTAACAGAATAATTCAGGATGAAATTGGAAGATTTATTTTGAGACCAGGACAAGGTCTCGGTGGGGCTAACTGTGGACTGTGGAAGACTGGGAAGAAGGACATGTGGACTTTATTTGGAGATTGCTTTCTTTACACCAACTTTCCATTAAAATAAAATATTTAAAAATAAGATAAAATATGAAAATGAAAAATTAAAATAAAGCAAATATAGCAAAAGAGAAAAAGGATAAAATAATAAATTAAATATAATAAGAGATTATGTCAAGCAACATTTTTGAGCTGATTTAAATAGCATAAAGTGGCCGAGCTCAGTGGCTCATGCCTGTAATCCCAGCACTTTGGGAGGCTGAGGTGGGTCACTTGAGGTTAGGAGTTTGAGACCAGCCTGGCCAACATGGTGAAGCCTCAACTCTGCTAAAAATACAAAAATTAGCTGGTCATGGTGGTGCACACCTGTAGTCCCAGTTATTTGGGAGGCTGAGGCAGGGGCATCACTTGAGTCTGGAAGATGGAGGTTGTAGTGAGCCAAGAGCACACCACTGCACTCCAGCCCAGGTGACAGGAAAGAAAACCTGTCTCTAAATAAATAAATAAATATATAAATAGCTTAAAGTTACCAACAACTTCTCAGAGGAATGGAGGTTACCAAGTTGCTTGGATATTTTTAGGGGAGCAGTTGTTTAGTCTGGAAAGTGGGTACTTCTTACTTGTTTTGGTTTCTTTAGTATCTCTGTCACGTACCTGTATTTGAATAGTACCAGAAACTAGCGGCTAGTCCTGTGTTCGAGCTACTCGAACTACCATGCTAGAGTAGACTCAGGTTCTCCCTTTGTCCAGGCCACTCAGACACAATATCTGGAAATGATTGCAAGTTTTTTTAAAGAATGCAAAGCAGGTCAGCAGCAAGCACTGAAGAGCCATTTAAATTTATTCTGGAAGAGTAATCAACTCCAAACTGTAGCCTAAAGCTGTGAGCTACGGGCGCATTGAAAGTTGATGCCACACTGTCTTCCACAATTGTTGAACTCATTTACACTCCCACCAACAGTGTAAAAGCATTCTTATTTCTCCACATCCTCTCCAGCATCTGTTGTCTCATTTTTTAATGATGGCCATCCTAACTGGTGTAAGATGGTATCTCAGTGTGGTTTTGATTTGTCTTTCTTTAATGACCAGTGATGATGAGTGTTTTTACATGTTTGTTGGCTGCATACATGTCTTCTTTTGAGAAGTGTCTGTTCATATACTTTGCTCATTTTTTGATGGGGTTGTGTATGTTTTTCTTGTAAATTCGTTTAAGTTCTTTGTAGATTCTGGATATTAGCCCTTTGTCAAATGGGTAGAGAGCAATAATTTTCTCCCGTTCTGTGGTTTGCCTGTTCACTCTGATGATAGTTTCTTTTGCTGTGCTGAAGCTCTTTACTTTAATTAGATCCCATTTGTCTATTTTGGCTTTTGTTGCCATTGTTTTTGGTGTTTTAGTCATGAAGTTCTTGTCCTTGCCTATGTCCTGAATGGTTGCCTAGGTGTTCTTCTAGGCTTTTCATTATTCTATTACAAAGACACACACACATGTATGTATATTGCGGCACTGTTCCCAATAGCAAAAACTTGGAACCAACACAAATGCCCATCAATGATAGATTGAATAAAGAAAATGTGGCACAGAAGCACCATGAAATACTATGCAGCCATAAAAAAGAATGAATTCATGTCCTTTCCAGGGACATGGATGAATCGGGAAACCATCATTCTCAGCAAACTAACACAGGAACAGAAAACCAAACACCACATGTTCTCACTCATAAGTGGGAAACGAACAATGAGAACACAAGGACACAGGGAGGGGAACATCACACACTGGGGCCTGTGGCGTGGGGGTGGCTAGGGGAGGGATTGCATTAGGAGAAGTACCTAATGTAGATGATGGGGTGATGACACCACAAACCACCGTGGCACATGTGTAACTATGTGACAAACCTGCAGTTTCTGCACATGTACCCCAGAACTTAAAGTATAATTTTTAAAAATTTTTAAAAAAAGAAAGTTGATATTATCTTCTCTTTCCTTTGCATCTATGAACTCAGAGTCTTTCCTTCTGTCTTAAAGGGAAAAACAAGACATGGGACCCTAAATAGATTTCTGCTGATCCAGATGGCTGCATGTCGTAGTACATGTTCTCATCTGTACTAAAGCACATAATGAAATTATTTCACAAAAATACTCCCACTCATTGTGATCAGATTAGAGTCTCACAAATGGTAAGATACAGCAAGAGCATTTCTGCTTCCATCTTCAAACCTATGCCAACCATTTTAACACTGTAAACTTGGGTCTCTTTACTGACAGAAAGATAATAGTGTCATCCTGTATGCGGAGCCCATGCCAACACACTCCAATGACACATCTTTTGGGGAAACCAAATGTAACATCTTTCTCAGTCAAAATGATGCTATCCATTGAGACTTCCTTACTTAAAAATCTTAAAAATCATAGCCCTATATTAAATGTAAACACTTTCTCACAACTCTCATGCCAAAATCACTCACCAATGGGTCAGCAGAACCATCAAAAGGTGCATGGATGCGAACTTTCAGAAAAATTTCCCTGTAGAACTGACCAACCCATCTCATTACATTTATTTTATTTTATTTTTTTGACACTAAGTCTTGCTCTCCAGCCAGGCTGAAGTGCAGTGGCACGATCTTGATTCACTTCAGCCTCTGCCTCCCAGGTTTAAGCAGTTCTCCTGCCTTAGCCATTTGAGTAGCTGAGATTAGAGGCACATGCCACCATGCCTGGCTAATTTTTGTATTTTTAGTACAGTATTTTCACCATGTTGACCAGGCTGGCCTTGAACTCCTGGCCTCAAGTGATCTACCCGCCTCAGCCTCCCAAAGTGCAGGGATTACAGGCATGAGCCACTGCTCTTGGCCTAGCAAACCTTTTTTTAAAGGACTACTGTTTTACTAGTTACTTCAGTGTAGTACAGTTTGTGGTGTGGGGCTGCTCTCAGTGAGAATAAGTAGGCACCTAGCTAGTTTCATAAAAGGAAGGGCCCTGTGGCTCACTCGCTATCCGCAGGCAGCCTGGGAAACAGGATACGCAGCAGTCCACCCTGTGGCTGCTACTAGGAACCAGTGGAGGGTTTGCTGGGCCTTTCTGGACCAAACTGGAAAAAAACTTAATTAATCTTTAATCAGACGAAATGTACATATGCAAAGTCTTATGTTATAAAGGTTTATTAAGCCAATCACAGGGAGGTCACATTTTCCTATGGAATTGTTTGAACTAAACCAAAAGTGAAAACAAAACAAAACAAAAACCATGAATCTTCTTGAAATGACAACACTTCTTAAAGGCTAAGTGGCTTGCATGGCACGTTTTGCATAATGACTTGCTTTTTGTTCCTTTGTTTGTTCTCTACTAATGGCTTTAGAATACCTCTTTTATTCTGCTCTTTGTCATCTTGATAGAGCCGGTCCTTTGGTATGGGCAATGGACAATTAAAGGCACAGGGGAGAAAAGGAGGCCTGGCCTGTCCTGCGGAGGGTGGGAGAACCAGAGCCTGGAGAATATCCCTGGTGGATCCCTGGAGTTTCTTTCCCTTTAAACCTTTCTGGTTAACATCAAGAGAAAAGGACTTAGAGAATTTGGAGGGAACTTAGACCTGAATACTTTTCTCTCTGGACATTAAGGTCCTCCAACTATGAGTGAATAAAATCTCTGAAATTGCCAGAAACCAATTGGTCCCTGTCTCTACCAAGTCCCCTGGACATCTATGAGTCTAAGACTATAAGTTAGGAGGGTTCTAGGACTAGCAGTAACTTCCCAGAAATTCCAAATGCAACTGCGCTGAGCTCACACAGGCTGGGCCCAAAACATCAAATGATGTTTGCTGAAGTAAGAACTCTTCGTAACTGATAGTCTTTTGTCCCAAATTCTGGACTAAACCTTGTTATTTTGATCATTTGATGTATCAGTCCATTCCCACACTACTCTAAGGACATACCCGAGACTAATTTATAAAGGAAAGGAAAGAGGTTTAATTGACTGACTCATAATTATGCAGGGCTGGGGAGGCTTTAGAAAACTTACGAAATTTATGGTAGAAGGGGAAGTAAACACATTCTACTTCACGTGGCAGCAGGAGATAGAAGTGCAGAATGAAGGGGAGGCAAAAGCCCCTTATAAAACCATAGATCTCTTGAGAACTTACTATCACAAGAACAGCATGGAGGTTCATTTTACCATATTCGGGTGGGGACACAGTCAAACCATGTCATTTGGATTCCTTTCCATTGGTCTTGGCACACCCAGCAAAATCCCTTCTGGCCCTACCTCTCTTGGTTGTATAACTGTCAGGATTGGAGATTAGGCTTGCCTCATCCTTGCTACCACAAGCTGTTTTGAAGATAAAAAACAATGGCTCTCATCTTGTCTTTGTCCATTATTCCTGTTTTTCTAAGTTCACAAGAAGCAGTCACCCTGTATCACAATATAAGTCTGTACATCCTTTTAACCAAATCGTGACCCACACAAAGGATACGAATCATATGACAACCAGGACATTCTATGTAGATGTACTTATTCACTGTCTTAGTCTGTTCTGGCTGCTATAACAAAAGACCATAGACTGGGTGGCTTATAAACAACAGAAATGTATTTCTCACAGTTATGGAGGCAGGGAAGTTCAAGATTATAAAGCAGGAAAGGCCAGGAAACAAACCTCTTGAACACTGAACTGGGAAGGAAGTGGTGATTTATTTGGCTGGGAACAGGTGGCATAGTTGCCTACCAGCCAAGCTCTGTTCACAAAGAAAGTCCCTGCCCTTTTAAACGTTTACAACTCTAGAAACTACACGTGAAAGGGTCTTGGGCTTACAACTCTAGAAATTACATGTGAAAGGGTCTTGGGTTTACAACTCTAGAATTTATGTTTGAAAGGG